GTTCTGTCCCAAACAAGCAATACTAATTGAGGAAATCATTTAAGTGAGTGCCACACCAATCGTCAAGCAGGCAATGGATCCTCCGGACAGTAATAACCGGCACTTGAGCGTCTCAGATGTTGCTAGCGGCACTTGGCCTGATACATGGCCCCCCCCCTCCACGAATCCTCACAGGCAGCACGCGACAAGAGTGTCCAAACAAAACGTGTAAATATTTAGGCGCCTTCTTAAAAAAGATTCAACTGTTCAATCAAGCTTAAATTTCTCGATTGACTGAACGTAACTTGTAAACCACATTTCTTGGATTCATCTCCATGTTTCCAACTCCACACATCAACACCGCAGGAGAAATAGACGGAGTCCGGGTCTCCGTGAACGCACTACCGTGAGGACCTAATCCAATCTCATCCGTCTCACCTCAGATCCCTATCCGTCGCAGGATTTCGACACAATGGGGGAAAAGTCCGGGACGCTCTGCGATAGCACGCGCATCCGTGTAGCGGAATCGACTCCTCCCATGTACCTTGGGCCATGACTTCACCTGCAGGATCGCGTGTCTGTATGTCTGCGGCGTAGCAAGAACAGCGAGCCCTGTTGTTCGTTTTTCCAGATCTACAGCAAGATGAACGCTACCCTCCTTGTCTAGAAAAGAAATGAAGGGCAAGCACACACTTCTTGCCAACCCCAGCCGCCCAACAACTCCCGATAATGAAAGTAAGCCCAACCAATATCTTCTACAGCACTTATCGCTTCCTCTACTCCTTCATCCGTAGTCTTAGCATGAAGTAGCGTTCGCGACCCTAGAGGATGAAGAGGCTGAGTGACACAAGTCCCCCACACACACCTCGCTTGACACAGTCAAGACAGTGTTATAATTATCGAGGTGCATGAACTATGTGCTTCACATGGATTCTGCCCTTTGCTTACATGTAACCTCATTTCCCAGAGCCTCTCGCTAACAACAATTCATGAGATCCAAGCAAGCGGTGACATGATAGCCGAGTTACCAGGCCAATCGGTGAGTGGCGCTACCTCCCGTCGGCAGCTGAAATTGCTGTCGGTAAGCTGACGTCTTTTCAATGTCCGCCGGCTGCATGTCCGTTGGCTAGTGCGTGTAAATCTGCACAGGGTAATGCCTACTCCCATTAGCCTCTTGGGGCAGCCGCGCGTATCTGCTGCTACCATAACCCATTTCGTTGGCTTAAACGCTGCGGAATTCCGCGACCAATTTGACTTCCCATGAGGATCATTGTGGCCCCATGAACCAAATACGGTAATGTATCAGAATCATGGAACCAAATGCAGGAAGGTATTAGAAACATGGCAGATTTCCCATTTAGTTGCTGGGCTGGGCGGAGAATGCCGCGGAGAGTGCCAAAATCCCCATACAATTTGATGACGGACTGATCAGCCGGGTAATCGGGGTTCCAATCAGCTCTCGATAGCAGCATGACCTCCTTCTTTGGACAGCCAGACCGTCTTTTGGTTTGTCGATGGATTTTGCTTTCAGTGCCCGTTTTTTTGAAGTTGGTACATTTAACCTTCTCGTAGATCGCGTCGGGTCGCCTTATTGTTACCAAATGCAGGTACGCTCATCGCAACTGCCGTACTGAGTGATCAAGTGCCATATTACCTCTTCTGTCGATGCCGGGCTCGGTTCCGAACTTTTGCCAGCTTCCGGTTGCTCTGGCGCTGGCAGTTGAGGCTGGGGTGTGGGTACAACTGGGGTCGCGCGTCTGTGTCCAGGATCTCGCTTACATACATGATGCCCTAGCAAATGTAGGGGTGTACTCTAGGATAAGGTACAATTGTACGCTCTGGTCTCTACATCCAGTATACCACGGCGAGGAGAGGAGGCTTCTAGATACAAATGAAGAGGCCAAAAAAGGCTGGTTATCGGCCTACATTCGGGACTTGCTGGAGATTTACCGTTACTTGGTCTAGGTATTTTTAGGTACATATACCTTAGTCAACGGAGCCTCGGAGTTAAGATCTCACAAACATCTTATCTCCAACATAACCCAATACAATATTTCGTGATGTTGATGGCACTACGTAGTCAAGCACCAGAAAAGATCACGATAGCCAACCATTATTGAGATGCTATAGGATCCCTCGTGATGTTGATTTCATTACCTAGGTACCTAGTCAGACAGGAAAAGATGACGAAAGACATGTCGAGGTTCTAGGATTTGCCGTGATATTGATGTCAGTACACAGTTAGGCATAGGAAAAATAGTACGATAGCCAAGACTCTTGATGGCCGAATAGTAATTCAGTACCGGCATAATGTTATTTTCGAAGCACACTTTACTGCAAAGTCTCCGATGAAATCGAAACTAGAAGTCAGATAGCTCAAATGTGTCCCACATTCTGTTGTCATTCGGAGTGTCTAGGGTAACGTTATGAGACAAGCACTCTCTTTCGCCCAGCGACATCCTTATCTTGACATATATGATCTGGTGAATACCAAAACGCATGCATGTCCTGTTAGTGGCCGGGATTTAGAATCAGGTTTAAAATGACCTAACCTAAAAGAATATCCCAAATTCAACATGTATTTTACAGTCGCAAGCGAGTGGTTTTAAGGTCCTGCCTTCGTTGCCTGAGCATGGATGAGAGAGTATGATTGAAATTGTACAGATAAAACACAGAGACTCAGATGACAAAAACTAGATGCGAAGAAAATGCCGACGTCTTATTTGATGTGTTTTACTAGCCGGCCGAGACCCAACCCAACAAGATGGAAGAGAAGAAAATGCAAACGAAGAAATAGATGAGCCCAAATTACCACATTCGTGTGTGAAACTGCCAAAGCCAGGGTGCGCATTGTTCCCACAATGGTAACCTGGCAACGTCTTAACCGTTTCTTTATTACCCGGGCAAATTGCCCACACACCGCATCTTGCTGCAAGCCAATTACTCAATCATGTCGATGTCCTCTGCTGGCACCTGGGCAGCCTGTGCAGCATTTTGAGTAGTATCGGCGTCCCCATTGCCCTGGGCAGCCTCTGGCGCAGCGTCGCCGTTCCCCCCGAAGTAGTCTGCCATTTCGGCGTCGAGCTCTTCTTGGGTCTTCTTGGAGCGTGGGTTGCCACGAGCCTCACGGCCACCTTCTCTCCCGCGACCCTGACCGGGCTCACGGCGAGCACCGGGGCGGCGCCCGCCACGTCTAGGAGCTGGGCTTCTTGACCTGTTTCCAGATCCCTCGCCGGGAATGTACCTATCAATACCCCTTCGAGCCGCGTCTTCTCTCAAGTACCTCCCTTGGGGTGATTGGGATCGAGCTCGGCCGTCTGGTGCCGTGATTCTCTCCGATAGAGGTCGGCCAGGCATATAGGCGGAGTCGAATGGGTTGCGACCCCGGCGCTCGGAAAGCAACGTCAAGCGAATCGGTTGCCCTAGCGAAAGTTAGACAAGAAGAGCGGGGGATGAATTGATGGGTAAGTTACCATTCGCGTTTGCTCCATCGAACTCGCGAATTGCCTGCTCAGCGTCTGCCTTGGTCTCGTAGGTCACGAACGCGACTCCATCTGACCGTCCGGCCCGGTCATACCGAAGTTGGAGCTTTGTGACAGGTCCAATACGCTTGAACAGTTCCTGATTAATCGCTAGTGAGTCAAAATGCCACAATTTCCCCTGAAGAGTTCGAGATCTGGGATCATACCTCGAGGTCGTCCTGGGTAAGATCATAGTGAATGTTTTCTACTCGAAGCTTGCTCCCTGGAGCTTCGGCTTCGGGAGATGCTTGGCGGCGACGAGGGGCGGGAGCTTTTCGATAACCTAGTCGAAAGGTAAGTCGGTGCAAATAGGAGGAGTTGGATGCTGGGATGGCTGATTACTGTTCTCTTCGTATCGGTCATGAACCCATTCTCTAGTCGTTATTAGCTTGCTGAACAAAAAAAGGGTTGCAGGAATGGAAATTTACTCACCCGTCGAGATTCCTGGGTTCGTTTCGGTAAGACTGTAGGATGGTAGGAGAGTCGAGTCAGCCAGGATATCGATATAGAGCGAGGCACATGTCGAGTCGCTTCACCGCTCCGAGTACGGATCGAGAGGTCGTGAAGGACGAAGTGCCGGCGCCAACAAGGAGTGAGGCTAGAGGGAGGAATGTGCAACCTAAATGCAGCATGTTAGAAACGAACATGACGGATATACAGGAAGCAGATGGTGCGCCCGGTGGTGTTTCCTCTCTGACCTTTCTTACTCCATCTCGGGGAGTCTCTTGACGATCGCCACCGCGACGGCGACCAGTTGGACCGCCGCCATTGCGCCTATTGCGAGGGGCATTGCTGCGCTGAAGGAAGAATGAGTCGTCAGTCCCAATGCATGGAGAATTTGGATCGGGCTGTAGTGGATGATCCTTACGTTATCGGCAATGATCTCGTCAAGACCACGGTCCATCTTACTGCTGGATGCCATGATGGGCGATAAATCACCAAGACAACGCTGAGTTTTCTCGAGACGATCCGGTCGGCGACGTGTTGATATAACTGAGCAGGCGACTCGATTCGCGTAATCGTGCACCTTGCGAGTGAAGCTGACGGTGAGTCGGCGACGTGAGGCAGAATCTGAGGCGTTGGCAAACAGTGTGGTCAAGCTGTTGGGACTGATCGGTAAGATTACATAGGTAGAAAAGAAACGCTGAGGCACTAACCAATTGATTCGCGGATTTCCCTGGACTAAGGAGCCTATCGCGTCTTGGTCCACGCTTTCTACAGGGGGCACCTGCCTATGGGGCAACGCTCTAGAAGCCCAGGTGGGGCCTTTGGTTATTCTTAGCGAGGTGGATTTCTCCAAGCCTCGATATGATAAAGTTTGACACATGATGTATCATTAACGATTCTCATTCATTCATTCATTGTTACTTCCAGTAGCTTTGGTGTTTCGTAGGACGAAAGCCACCAAAGAAAAGAAATGGCAGGTATGTGAGAGAACCGAAGTTGATCTGTCATTTAATGAGAGGTATCTGTTTAGAAGCTGGCTGCTAGCCTTGCGTTTCAATCCAGCCGTTGCATCAGAACTTGCCCAGGCCAGCCGTGAACTTCAAACTCTTCCGTTTTCACAAAGCCTTGCGATTCGTAGTATTTGACAAGCTTACCGTCGTCTCCCCTGTAACAATCCACTCGGAGCACCGAAACACCAGCATCGCGTGCAAGTTGGCGTGCCTTGGCCAGTAACATTGCTCCGATGCCGTGTCCCGCCCAGGACCGATCGGTTATGAAGCCCTTGATGTATAACTCGGGCTCCTCCGCCGGTTTGACATACGGAGGCGCATCTCCAACCGCAATGGACCCGACCGCGCCTCCTGGCACGGAGCTGGACCCATTGACCCCAGACGCATCCTCGGCGCCGGAGAATTGACTATCTACTGCGACCCATAAACCGCCCGACTCGGCAAAGCTGGTGAACTGCTTTATGCGGTCTGGGATTTCCGATGGCTGCTGTGTACCCCATTGCCCAGTTATGCCCTTCCTGACAAGCCATTCTACGGCAAGATCCATAAGCCGCGCCATCGCCGGCACATCATCGACTGTCCCAGGACGAAGGACAATCCGGTCGGATCTGCAAGGGTCGGCCCCGGCTGTGTTAAGACTCTTTCCTGATCTTTCAGCTCGAGGACAGAAACATACTCAAGAGATATGGGGTTCATGTTGCAGCAGTACGTTGGTAGGCCTGGGACCAGTGTCTGGTCAAGGTCAGGCTATTAGGCAGCACCAAAATACCTCGAATAACTAGCATTCAGTAATGCGTGCTCTGATCGATTTAAAATTGCGTCCTTGGGTTCCTTTCAAAGAGAGCTATCTGAAAACCTTAGTACGGCGTGCGTTGCGAACAGAAGTATGTTAAAATCAACGTTTGGCGACAGAAACGTTTAGGAATCGCACAGAATGCATTGTCATACGAGCATTTCACCAAGACTCATTCGGCGGACAGATGTCAGATAATCCAGTACAAAAATCCCTTCGATATTTAGCCAGGTGTAGGGTTGGCCGTGAGTAGGAGCTGTATTTTCCAGTCAGGCCGCTAAAAGGGAGCAAAAGGCGCTGGAACGAATCCCCGCCGCTTTTGAAGCCCACCAGCCGAAACATTTGGCATTCATGGGGACACAACATGACTTCAATGTCGATTTATATATACTATTTCTCCTCTGAAATTGACAAACAGTATCTCTAACTGTGGGAGACAAAATATCTAGGGGCCTCCTAGAAAGGCGAAAACTCGAATCTGGTGTCTGCGTTTAGAGATCGTTACCATAGTAGAAACGAGACACATTGGGCGGCCTGAAAAAAGGCCGCACAAGCCAGTAATTGACCAGAACCTCACATGTCTATCCAATTGTCAACTACTGTCCCTTAATACGCGAGAAAAAGAGCATTGAAGTGTTAGCGGGGTTCCATAAGACAATATACTGCTGTCAGAGATGATGCTGCATCTCTAATCCAGTTAGCTACTGGATGAGCAGCTACAAACCTGCCTGCGGTCCCTCAAAGTTAAAATGTTTCTGCAACAGGTCCTACTTAGGTTCAGGCCAGCCTGCAGCGTATTTTACAGCGGTAGACCAATGACGCATGGAGATGTTGAAAGTGTTTTTCAGGAAAACAAAGGAATCAAGTGTCGCTTTATCTGATTGATATCACGTTGAACTCCTCAAGCCGTGCTCATGCTAAAAGCGGCGTGGCCGGAGGAGCAAGAGTGGATCTCAGCTTAATTGACGTTGCGACGGTACTGGACAGATATTCTTGGCCTGTGATGCTTCAGTGGATGCAGGTACGGGGTAGGTGCCCCTTGTTGGCAGACACGGATCCCTGGATTCCAATCTGATACTCGCCAAAAGTTACATTATCTTCACTACGACGCCACACGTCTTCGCTTCCTTTCCCCCTTCAACCCCTCCAGCCCACTTCCGTGTTCACGGGCGCGAGGTTTTTCTTTTCATTTCATTCTTGTCTTCCCATGCTCCTGTCCCTTTGATATCTCATCTTCATTTCACTGCGCCCCATCTGTCCCTCCTATCCACCATCAATCGCATCGCCTACTTACGTACCCGACGACTCTCGAAAACGGAACCAGTCCGACAGCTGCCTCCATGGCTCGACCCATGGGGTCGGTTCGCCTAAAGAAGGCGAACCCATTCACTCTTTTATTAGGCACTGTCCTCTGCATATTCATTCTCTACTTCCTCATCTCGCCCTCCTCCACCCCGAGCAGCACCACCCGAGTTGTAGTCGACAGCGCCCGGCATCACCTCTCCCCTCCGACATCACCGTATCGCAAACCTAAATCGGACGCCGCTGTCGAGCTTGGCCCCCCGCCTGTGACCCGTTACAACCTCAACAATGTCACCATCACGGCTGACCCGATTGGCAACCAGGAGCATGTCCTGATCCTGACGCCCATGGCCAGGTTCTATCAGGAGTACTGGGATAATCTTCTCAAACTCAGCTACCCCCACGGACTCATCACCCTGGGCTTCATATTGCCCAAGTCGAAGGAGGGAAATGCGGCCACCGCACTGTTGCAGCAGCAAATCCAGAAGACCCAGAAGCAGGGTCCCGAGAAGGACCGCTTCAAGAGCATCATCATCCTGCGCCAGGATTTCGAGCCATCACTGCAATCCCAGGACGAGAGCGAGCGCCACAAGATGGCCAACCAGAAGGCCAGACGAGAGGACATGTCAAAGGCGCGCAATTCGCTGCTCTTCACCACCCTGGGACCTGCCACATCGTGGGTTCTCTGGCTGGACAGCGATATTGTGGAGACACCGCCTTCTTTAATCCAGGACCTGGCGGGATACTCTAAGCCTGTAATTGTGGCCAACTGCTTCCAAAAGTACTACGACGCCGAGACCAAGAGCATGGCCGAGCGGCCATATGACTTCAACAGTTGGCAGGATAGCGACGTCGCACAGAAGCTCGGCGCTTCAATGGGTCCTGACGATATTCTCCTCGAGGGCTATGCCGAGATGGCCACATACCGACTACTGATGGCTTACATGGCCACGAATCCTTCTGAGAAGGATACAGTTGTTCCCCTTGATGGAGTTGGTGGAACTGCCCTGCTAGTCCGGGCAGATGTGCACCGTGACGGGGCCATGTTCCCTCCTTTCGCCTTTTACCATCTCATTGAAACTGAAGGTTTTGCTAAGATGGCCAAGCGATTGGGGTGGCAACCATATGGTTTGCCAAACTACAAGGTGAGTGGCGGTGAACCCTTGATCGGAAAGAACTATCCTTGCTAACTGTGTTCTAGGTGTATCATTACAATGAATGAGCGGCATAACTCAATACTTGCCATCTAGCTTCTGAATTGCGGCATTCACGATCTATTTACTGCTATCACTAGACTCATGCTCGGCAGCCCACATCCAATTCCCCATTAAAAGCGAGCACGGTTGGACAGGCCAACAGCTGGACTATGCTTGGCAGCCATCTCATAGGTCCCGTGGTTGAATTCTGCGCGGCGTTCTTTCTGTACAGTAACCCACTCAAAACATTACGAGCACCATTTCATCGCTCCTGATGGTAGATTCATTGGCGTACACCGGGGGTACTTTTTTCATGGGCTTTAGGTTTTATTTTATCTTTATTCATCATGTTTTCAGTGTTTGTATGACCATACCCAACCTCTTCGTGTTGCCAACTTTCCATTTCAAAGCACATCGTGAAAGACGTGTTCCCCCACGACCTTGTTCTTGACGATTTCGTCAAGGACTGACTCGACTTGCCAGTTGACCTCAGCTTCTAATAGAGAGATAGTCTCGTAATCATTTTCGTCAGACGACTGGTAACGAATTACAGCTAAGTGAGCAAGCTGAGTTTCAGATGAGAGAGGCACCTTGGCCAGCAGCTTCTTGTCAGTTCCAATTGCAATCTCAGTCCTAATGTCTTTTATTGATTCTCCATGGAATTTCGAATCGTTGGCAAGCGGTAGTAGAGTTCCTCAAGTCCCCTTCAGCTTGGCAGAAACCTCGAAGCCTGTTGCTAAGGGGGGTGTGCAAAAGCCTGTACCTTCTTCACTATGTTGAAGAGTGATCTGGACCTGAACGTTTTGTACACTGGATGTGGTTGGATTCTCTCCCCTCACATTTGGGGCTTTGGAAACCTACTAAGAATTATATCCTGTGAAGCTGCCACCCTAGTCAACCCGCAATGCTGTTAATGTGGGCGTCAATAGATTCCTATAACTGGCGCTTGAGCACCTTTCCTTCTTTTTTGTCTTTAAGTACCATGCCAAGCAGAGCTTCACTTGCTCGAGCCTTCTCTTGCTGATTTGAAAACGTCTCAAGGAGCGGGATAATCCGTTTCTGCATCTCCTTGTATGTTTGGGAAGCTGGTAGACAAATGCCCACGAAACGGTCGACTCTCCTTTCTCGAGGCCACATATCCTCTCTGTGCACCACGTATGGGGTTCTCTCTGTTAGAACTCAGCCCCAACTGCTGGTCCCAGCTCCTCAATAATTGATCATTGATACATCCAGAGGTGACCTTTTTTTGTATTTCAGCAAGACCGCTATTTGGTATCATTTCATTCAGTAATCGGGGTCGTACAATCTCTCCTTCCTTCCTCCTCCCAGCATCAATTAACTTATCCCTTCATCATTTCCTATATCAGAAAAACGCTTCAACTCCCGGCTACAAAGGGAACCGCAAAGACCTTGTGTGCACGCTGCACACACACACACACTCCCCAAATCCACCCTCGTTCAAACTCCCCAAGCATCAGTCCCCGGGGAGCTCCAAACCGCCCTTATTGCCCATTGTACCTGCTGCTCTCGTCCGAGCACCAGAACTCAACCAGCCTCCTGGCGCCGACCGCGTCGCCGTTCCTCACCAGCGCGGCGAGGTCGACGTTGAGCGGGCTGTCCGTCTCCGGGCAGCTGAGGAGCATGCGCACGGCGCGCACGGACTCGAGGACGCTGTACGCGGGCGTCCACGCGTCCTTGAGCAGGTCGAGGCAGATCTCGCCCGTGTCCGGGGCGATGTTGGGGTGCAGTATCGGCGTGGCGAACTGGATCTTGGGCGCGTGGAGCGGGTACGTCGACGGGATGGAGATGGTCAGCAGCCATCGGCCGGCTATAGGGCGAGAAGAGACTTGGAGTTAGAAAAGTATTCAAATGAGGAGCTCGTTTGCTGCGAAAGATTCCGATTGAGGTTGGGGGCGCGTAGATGGGATGAAGATGGATGGGGCATTCTCTTACCGTCGTAGCCGCTGCCAATGCCATTACCGTTGATGACGGCCTCCCATAGGTATAGGTCCTCGTCCCTGGATGGACCTAGCCTCTCGATGCCCTTTTCCTCCTTTTGCTCCTCCCGCCAGGTATCCAGCTCTTTGAGTAGTCGCTTAGTTGCGGTTCGAGAGGACGCAGCTCCAGCTGCAGCCGAGTTGGACGACATTGGAGGGCGATCGGTCTGTGTTGGGCCGTGAAGGTTATATGATGTGATCGGGGAGAGGCGTCTTCCTCACGTCGGGAATGAGTTCGACTGGCGCGATTAGAATCAAACTAAACGCCAACGCGATGCAGTATCTCGGATATAATGGGAGGAGGTTACTCACAAGCTTCCGCAAGCTTGAGTTAATGGGGATATCGAACGTAGGGGTGGGGTCTTAAAGTACTGTCTACTCAATGAAAGTACTAGATCATGGAGCAATTTAAAGTACTGAGTACTTCGCAACAGTCCATCCCAGCCAGTCCAGGGTCTACGGGATGAGCCGACCGAGGCTCCTTTTCAGATTTACCAGGTTAAGCCAAGTGCCTGTATGTTGTACGACGGACGGTCATCTGGAATTTGGAGGTACAATATCACGTTTATAGTCAACTCTTGTACATCCTTGCTCCAAGTGGATGCCTTTTCAAAGTCATTGGGGGAGAAATAAGTATACAAAATTTAATTATGCGAGGCAAAATAACCAGATGCCAATGGGCACTGGTAGGTATCAATATATCAGAAGAATAGAGGCGCGGACCTCTGCAACGTCAGTTCCCCTCCTCCACCACTCATTTCTTCTTACCCCTCCGCACCCTGCTGGCAACTGGCTTTCGCTTGGTTGGAGATGGGCTCTTCTTCTTGGCAGGTTCAGGCTCAGGTGAATCTTCCACGACAATCGCTTCCTGACGACCTGGAGGAGATTGTTTGACTCGCGCTCCACTGTCATAATCATCGGTGCTTTCATCACTTGCGGCATTTCCTTCCTCGCTGGTTTCGCCTGAGCTAGGTGTCCTTTTGACGGCGCCTCTGGTCCTACCAGATCTCGTCCTGTACGAGGATTCTGGCGGCATCGTATGTCGTTTCGAGGCGGCCGCAGCGCCAGACGAACGCGACGAACGCGGTCCCTCTGTCTGAAACTTGAACGGATCAAGCGATCGACTTCCTGATGATGATGACGCAGCGCCGTCATCATAATATTTCGAGGAGCGAGATCGTGATAGCGAATCAGAGGTCTGTCTCGAACCTGGGAGTTCTGATTGCTCATACTGGTCATCGTAGCCTATTGTCAGCGGCCGTTGAGAGCTGGCCGTGCCCGACCGCGGTCGTGCTCGCGAGTTTGCAGGCGGAGGAAAGTGGCCAACAGGTGGGAGGGCTCGAAGCTCTCCAGCATCTGTTAAGTCGGTCGCAGACTGGTGTCGCGATGACAGCTGTGATTTGCTCCCGGATCGCTTTTTCGAGACGGGATCGAGTTGGGTCAAAGGGATAGCAACACGCTGATCCCTTTTCTTTTTGCGTGCCCGCCTCTCAGCCTCCTCTGCTTCGCGTTCCCTCCTCCTTTCCAATGCATCAAGCTCAAGCTTGGAGAGATTGACATCTGTTGACCCCCTCTCCCGAGCTCGCTGGATACGTGCCATGGCCGACTGATACAGAAACTCTTCCTTCTCCTGGGAAGACATCAGAGCCAAATCCATTTCGTCGACGTCAGGCCCATCACTGTCGGAATCGTCATCTTCACTCCCTGATCCTCCGTGACCCATCCTCCGTCGTAGAGCACCATTTCTATCCCCCAAATCAGTACCTGTAAACTGGAGCGGGTCACTGACGAAGCGCGTGCCGCGCTGCAACACGAGCCCTCCTTGATTGTCCTCATCTTCCTCATCTGTTTCCAATTCTCGGACCCTGGTTTCACCATTCCAGGACCCGAAAGGCGCAGCATCCCCATCTCCTCTCCTCCGACCGCGCCTCGATGGTCTTCCCCAAGGGGGCGCAAATTCGGGAGCTCGCGGCCGACCACCTAGACCGCCTCCCCGGAAAAAGCCTCATCGATTGGCTTTTCCATGAAAATTGCATGACCGAGAATCGTAGCGCCAGAAGCACCCACAAGCCACAGAGCAGTTCCGATAGGGCTGGCAAAGAGACCTAGTGGGATGGCAACGACGAAGAGACCGGTGTAGAGTTGAGAAGTTGTAGCACGGAAGGTGCCGATGACAAGATCCTGGCCATTGAGAAGGCCAATCAAATATCTACCAGCAACAACCAGAATAATGACAAAGAGTAGGGTAAGGTTGGTGATGAGAGCATAGATGCTCAGGATGATGAAAACAGCAAGGTAATTGCTCGAGTAGTGACTCAAGTTGTAGTTGGCACGCGACTGAGCATCACTGAAGTCGGCGGGCTTAGCGAGACGCTTGAAGTCAAGGAACTCGCTGATGGGACGGAGTCCGCCAAACTTGGTGGAGAGAGCGCTGGGATTGAAGCCCTGGAGACGCTCAGCGAAGTTGAACCTCGAGGTGATGCTGTCGATGGGGATCGAAATGCTGGCCATGGTGATCGTTTTGCTGAATTATTTTCTTTGAAAGAATGATAGGAGTTGTGAAGACGGTCTCTCGAGATGTGTTTCGGGGACGACTAGGATATTACGCGAATAGCAGAAAGAAATTCTTGCTGTCGAGGGGAAGAGAAAGCTAGTTGAGACCTGGTTAGCAACTATTTATGACGCGCGGCCCGATCAAGTAGAGGCGTGTCTTCGAGTGTCTTGGGCAGTAGAGGAATGTCTTGAATGAGAGGATGATGGTGCGGGCAGCACCCAGGCAGCAGGCAAGCACGGCCGGGAAGCCGGGCGATGAAGGCAAGCCATACCAATTATCATGCGTTTGTGGCTTTGTAGCCGAAAGCAAGAAGACTGATGCCTAAGGGAAGGACGTGTACGAGATGTGCGCAATGCAAAACAGGGGAGTAGATGATAAAAGAGTTATCGTGTCTTACCAAAAGGGGTGGTGAGTGTCGCTTTTTTTGAGGGACTCCCTGTCCGCAAATTGTTGTTAAGAATAGATTGGCCTGGCTTCTGATCGTCCAGGGGGAGCTGGAAGTACACTATGGCGTGCGTGTGCGCAAGCGGGTACCTCTACCACCACTAATCTGTCCTCTCCGGATCTGACAGCTGCCTGAAGACGCGAAATTAGAGCACCTTCGATCCGCCTGTGAGAATCTCCTATCGATAAGGAGCTTCGGCGAAACTTAATAATATTTCAGCCCCCGCTGCTAAATCCGTGCTCGGAGGAGGAGCAATGGCAGCAGGGACAGTCAGAGTGATGCTTAGGTGGAGCAATCACTCGCCCAACGAGCTCCCCATTCGGAGGGATGTAAACCGCAAACCACCCGCGGCGAATTGGAGGGGGAGGGGATAAGGACGAGGGAGGGGAGAGAGGTGGGAAGGTGGAAGACGACAGAAGAGCGGGCAGACGGGTTTAAGAAGACTGCGAGGAGGAGACGAGAGGAAAAATTGGACGGCTTGCAATGGGTATTGACGTATTAGTGGTATTGCACACACAACTCGCACCTTCCATCCTACCGACCGCTCAATGTTCCCATATTAAAATCGGCCGGTGGGCAAGCAACCACGCCTCTGCCCATCATCCCACTGGCCACCACCCCGTTTTCCCCAGCCGCTTATGCACGCATGCAGCAAGCCAGGTAGTGGATGCCAGCCAAGTCAGCACATCCGTCGCCAGAAGAGCTACGTGCAATGTGTTCTGTTCCCAGTCCGATACGTGCCTCTGCCTCGTCTCTGGGCGGTGGTCCAGCTCCCCCGGCTCATGCATCGGCACATCCCTGTACACCGCCTTAACACAAGGTTGCCTTCGCCCGCGGTTGATCACCGCATCTTGGGCAACGTCTTGTCCAAGTAGGAAAATACTGCCGTAAGCTAGGCAAGCTAAGGTAGTTGAGTTTAGTTCTGCTGGCAAATGCACAATTCACGAGCCTCGGAAGCAATGGCAGCAGTTGAGGGAGCTGGTGCCCCTCACTGGCTGCTATCATCATGCAAGGAGATGCATAGTACATGATGTGACATGTATTCATGCTCCGTCACGGACCGAACTGCGACTTCTCTCAGGATTTGTCAACTTTGCTCGACATGAATCACAACAATAACAACAACACGTCTCACTCTGCGGCCAAGATGCTCCACTATCCCCATCGCATTGGCCTTTGGCGCGACCATTGGGCGCTGACGGCCTTCTCTCGCTGCACTCTTTCCACCTGAGCATGACAGTATCATATGTGTCTTGAATTGATACGGCAAGCTGATGCGCAGTCATTGCATTATATGCTAGCATGTCCACTTCGTTGCCTTATCAATGCCTCTTCTACCCACTCCAGCTCCATCCAACCTCTGCCCAACGTCAAGAGATCCTGCGCTATGCATCTACCCATTCGTCCATGCGTCCATCAAGCCATTACTGTAGTACCGCCGCCCGCCGGCTTCCCTTTTCGCTCAGCGCTGCAGCAGGGTACTTGTGAAACCAAAATAGATATGTAATAGTAATTAACTACAAGAAAAAGAAAACCAATTGCTCACCACGGCTCGTTCTGCACTGTCGAAACATTCGCCACTGTCATCGATGGAAACCCAGGCGTATTTGGGTCTCAAATTTCGAAGAAATAGTCCTCATCTACACCTTGTCTGCTCGGGATCACGCCGGCCCCGGGTGGCGGGCCTTCAAATGCAGATTCCTTCCGCACATTGAGCAGGCGGATTTTAAGCCCGTACTCGCTCACGAGGTTCACCAGCTTATTTGTTTCAGCTGTAATGGGTGCCTGCTTTAGCAACATGAGAAGTCCGTCGAGCCACTCAGACGCGAGGCTGTGGTCAAGTGGCCATAGACTGAGAAGCGCCTGTTCCTTGCCTTCGGGGCCTTTCACCGCTTCGGCTGGGTCCGTGAAGCTGAATATTGTAATCTTAGTAGTTGGTTTGGGTACGTTGAGAACGATCGTACTCCTCGATAAGTTAGACTCGCTGGCACTGCTTTTAATCTCATCATCGGGTGACGCCGAGATGTTGGAGACAACGGAGCTGATGGTGTTGAGCGCAATCTTTTCTGGCATGTTCCCCAACGTGGGGTTTCTCTCCGGTTGGGCTTCGAAGTCTGCGTAGTGTAGGTACCGCCGATTGTAGGATAGCTTAGCGAAACGCCACGGCATAGTCTTGGCTGTAGGCCGCAGAAACCATGACCCCTCGAGAAGACACCTCACCCGCTGCTCCTTGACGAACTGCAGGGCCTCCTGCTTGAGCTCCTCCCTCGCTTGGTACAGGTGCTTCCCCCACTTCTCTTCAAAGGAGAAGTCGAGCAGGCTCATCTGCAGGTCGCGGAGTCGTGGAACGTCGTACTCCTGCATCTCCTCCTCGGCTTCCTGCACTTCTATGCTCCGTGTAGCCTGGCCAACCACTTGCTCGATCAGCAGGCGAGCCAACTCGGCAACCTTGTCGAAATCCTCCTGCGTTGCACCTGTGGCCTTCCACACGCGGAAGAACCCATGGAGGCCAGCTGCGTGCAACCGCGACCACTGCAGCAACAACGGTCGGAACAACCTCTCGTAGTCTGTCCTATCAATCGTCTGCAGTGTTCGTGTGTCTTGCAAGTCGACCCCACCAACGTCAAAATGATCATATAGAATCAGGGTAACCGCCAGACTGGCACGAGCAAGTGGCAGTCGCTCAGAGAACGGCTTTGAAGCCTGCTCAAGCAGTAGTTTTTGGTATTCATCTTCATATCTTCGGACATAATCTGCCAGATCCATGAGGCCTAGGTAACCGGCCATCTCAAACTCATGGCTGGGGCTCTCCGTCTCAAAGCCGAGCCTCCTCCACTTCTCTGGATTATGGCGCTTGCTCCCCTTGCGGATCGGTCCGCCAGAATCCTCCTTGGAATGCCCATTGACTCGCTCGGGTGCGCTCGCAAGATGGAGACCCTTGAGCGCACGTCGATGCTCTGTCCGCTCTACATCCACCTTGACGCTCCTCCACCGTTTCAACAGAACCTTGGTCAAAGACTGGAATTCCAGCAGCGGAAGCGCCAAGTCCTGCAAGGCGGAGCTCCTCATAAGATTGAACACAGCCTTGATAAGTCCCAGATCCTGCAGAAGTTTGATGCGGCTCGCCCAGTCCTCCCCGTCCACCCCATTGGACTGCACCTGCGGCGAGCTTGGCTCGGTGGAGCTGTTGCCCGACAAGGCATCGCGGATCAGGGCATTGATCAGCATGAGCGCATTCGCACAGAGGGCGTGGTCCGCGCTCTGAAGCTGCTGTATTACCAGCTCGAAGAACTGGGGATACACAGCGACGGCAGGCTTCAGTGCCCGGAAGCCATAGACGTTGGTCGTCGGCACGGAGCTGGCCCGCCCCTGCGACTGCGAATGGCCCACCAGAGACACGAGGATCGACATGGCACCCCTCAGAATGTTAACGAGGGGGTTCTTCACGATCAATTCCACGATCCGTTCTACGAGGTCGCTCGACGTCGGCCCCTCAAAGATGTCCCACCCCATATCCACCTCGAGAAGCCGCGTCAGGCTCTGCAGCGAGTAGGCGAGTGTATTTCCGTTCGAGGTCATGATCAATCGTCGCAGCACGGCGAGGCCACCCGAGGATATGAAGACGTCGGCGAACGATGGGTCGTTGATTGAGCTCTGGAGCTTGAAGACGGCCATTTTCCGTGACGCATCTTCTTCGCTTGCCAGACGCGACAGGAGCGCTGGGATATCTGCTTGGTCCATCGTGACTGTAGAAACCGTGGGGTGAGGCTTGAAATCTGTTGATTATGACGGCGACTTCATCGCCTTTGGATCGTGAGGGTTGGGCTCATAAAGCCAGTGTCGCAACCTCGAAGCTGGTGGTGGTCTTCCCCATTCAACTGCTGTTACTGGGCTGGCCGTACCTTGTCTGCTGCCGATAAATGATTGCATGCATACCCCTGGCCGTTTTATCAGATTAGGTCGAATTAGGGGTTCCTCTTGGTGGTCCGTGCCTAAAACGACCTCCAACGTGCCTCGGATTGTCAGTCGACCGATTAATTAGGTTCTGAGACGAGCTCTTACGATTATTAGCCTCTCGCTGCACAAAGCGACGTAGTTCAATGAGTGTTTTAACTCATATTTTTCATAGACTACAGCCCTTAAAAACCCAATTACAAATAATTTTAATGTTTGAAACATTCTCGAGTCAGGCCCTCGGTCCCTGCAGGTTGTAGAAACGCCTAGATATCTGATAAGAGCTGATTCAGCCACACCCCACGTGACCCCAGCCTCATCTTGCTCCATCTGTGGCGCAAGGCTACCTGCAGAAAGTAATGCGTCGCATCTTTCCTCGAAGCCATCAATTTATTATCCAACACCACATCCGAGGAAGCACCAGCTCAACACCAACACAAGCTATCATCACCACACTTCCCACAACAAACCCAGACACATCTCACCATGGCCAGTTTCCTCGCCTCCATTTTCGGTACCGAGCTTGACAAAGTCAATTGCTCCTTCTATTTTGTAAGC